GCAAGGGCAAAACAAAGTTGAAAAATGGACTGATGGATCTTCCTCTTTGAGCCCCAGTATAGCTGCCTCCACTCTCCTGCTCCAGACGACTGTGCGATCGGCCCTGTTGCTCTTGGCTCGGTCGGTGGAAGAGGAGCAGCCTCCATGGCCCGGCCCTCCTCGGCCCTCTCAGCCACTGGGAGGTGAGCTCCGCAGTGGGTGTAAAATACTGTCGGGCGGATATATTTCTGCAATGAAATATGGATGTAAGCCTTGTGTGAGCGCGCGCCTGTCTGTTTACGTGCGCCCACGCAAGGTTAACTGGAGGTCAACGCTCACTTTGCCGCCACAGACTTGGCGGCGCTCCAACGTTGGAAAAGCAGCAGCAGTGTCTCTCTACTCACTCTCTGTCCTCTCTCTGTGCTCTTCCTTCTCGTCCTCTTCTTCCTGCCAGCGTTGCTGTAGTTTGCGTGCAGATAACACGCAGGGAGCCATGTGGTGTGTATCTGTGTTGAGCTCTGGGCTTAGCACTGTGGGAGTGGGGAGAAATGTGGGCTCAGAGCACGAGAAGTGAAGGAAATGAAAAGCCTAACTAGTTCACAAGTGAGACAGGAGTCAGATGAGCCCAAGGAAATATGACAGGAGCAAACTTTTCCCCACACACGCTGCTGATGATTTCAGAAAACGGGGCTGTAAAACTGTCCGTGCAGATAGTAAACACTAAAAATATGAAATAATAACTCCCCTCATTGCCAAATATGTTGCAATCTTTTGGGATTATTTGCTTTCTTACTGAGAATTAAATGAGAAAAAAATCTAGTACCACTATCATGTATGTACACTGAGCCTTAGCTTAGCTTAGCATTAAGGCTGGAAACAGCTAGCCTGGCTCTGCCCAAAAGGTAACAAAATTAGCCTACAAGCACTTTTAAACTCTAACTTATGAACTCTGTTCAAAACAAACAAGATAAAACATGTTAATCAGTGAGCTTCAGAGGTGCTGGTAGGTGGTCTGACAGAGCCAGGCTAGCTGTTGCCTGTTTATTTACACTTATTTGTGTAAAGGCAGCTAAACAACAATATTAGATTGTTTTTTAAAGGTTACCATCCTTTTCTAGACTTATGCAGTGAGCCACACAACATAAGGTTTTGTTCCAAGGTTGGATTCCTAGTTATTGACTGTTTTTGTGGGTTTTGAATGAGGTTTTCTTACTTCTGGAACACAACCTGGAAGTTCCCGACTAACTTCGGCTCTCTGTAAAGTACTAGTGAGCTGCAGAGGTGCTGCTAGGCAGATTATGTTACCTTTGTACACTGCCAAGCTATGTGGAACCGGGCTATTTAAGTGTGTTGAATAAGTGCTTCTTACCCAAAAAGCACTGCGTTTCTGTGTGAACCCTCATTATCAAATGACATAAAAACACAAAACAAGGTTCTTGGCAAGAAGAAAAGTTTTATCTTGAAAGCAGTGCGATAGTTCTCACCCTTGACATCGTCTTTTGATGCTGCTGCCAACAACAACTGCTTATTGCAGCTCAATGTGCCAACCAGAGATAGACAGAGTGTACAGCAGAGGCCAGCACGCCGGGCCGATAAGGAGGCGTCTCAGACAGCTGACTGGGCCACACTCAAGATGAAATCTGGAGGGTTTGGCTTGCTGATGTACTGACAAGACCTTCATCATCTGCAGTCCTCCTCCTCTCGCCAGTGACCCACATCCAACTCCAGATTCCACAACTTATTGCTGGAGAGTTATTGCTTGGTTTCTATTCTGGTTGTGCCAGAGGGTTTAACAGGAGACGGTGTTTTGAGAGCGCGGATACGAGCGCACTGTAGTAAATTTATGTGAGTTTGTTACAGAGTTTTGATGGTTTCTCGTCCTCTTTGAGCCCACAGGAAGTTTGCTGCCCTGCATGGTAGCTTACCCTCACCCTCACCCTCCTCCTGGGTGAGCGTCAATTATTCATAAGCCTTGGGTAGCTAACTTGAAACCGATAACCCACATGCTATTTATACTTCATTTCAAATGAACAAATACTTAACTGTGAAGTTCCAGGCAGCTTGGTCGTGTCTGTCTGCATAGCTGCTGCTGGGCTCACTGAGGGGGTTAGGCTGAAGGTATGGCAGGGGGGAGGAGGAGTGTGTGGGGGAGGAGGTGTATTGGAACCAGCAGCTGCACACTATAGGTGAGACTACAAGGCAGTAACCTGTAACTGGAGAGATTCTCATTCTCCTCAGTGCTCATTTTTGTATGAATTAGTTGCTCTGAATAAAAGCTGTATTTACTTACTTTACTCCATTTGCTTTATTCCCATATTTGTTTTCTGTATCCTGTTAGTTGCTGATGCAAAGAAGTTTGTCGATCAGAATCATCCAGATCGATTCAAATGTGGACCTAAAATAAACAATATTTGTAGACGGAAATAAATCAAAGAACAGGGAAGAATAAATCAGTTTTTAAATATGATTTATTTTAGTACTTTTACTTATTTTCTGTAAATTGTATTGGTGTAACGTTTTCTTTGGGCAGGTGGGAGGCACAGTGTTATCCCATCATCCTCTGTGTCTTACAGGCTGGTTGTGAGGGCTTTATGCAATTTACAGCTAGAAGAAAACCCACTGGTGAAGCCATTTTTGCCCTTTCTGGGTCCACAGGTCGAGTCCAGGGGAATCTCCATCAACGTATAACAACAGGGTTCCCACTTTCCAGGACATTTTCAAGGAGTTTTCTTGCCCACAAACAGTAATTAATTAATTTACCTGGAGGCCTGGTACTGACACATTTAACCCCAGCTTTTATCCTCCTTCATGAAGGCTGATTACAGGTAGGTGGGACAATCGGCTTGAGCTCGCTTTGGTGGTGCTCTTGGCCGCTCTCACCGCAGCAGATTTTTCCACTGCGGTCTCCAACAAACTGACTACAGTTTACGACAGCTTTCTTCTAACATTGATGACTCGACGTCAAAATAGATCACCACAAGTGAAGTATCATCCTACCAAGAGTCGGGTTTCAAACTAAATAAGCACAAAGGTTTACAGGTGATCTGAGCGAGGGATTTTTCAGGATACTTGGTCATTTTAATACATTTTCCAGGTTTTCCAGGTGTGTGGGAACCCTGAACAATCACTGAACATGAACATTTCTGTAGCTTGCTTTAGTAAAGCAGCCTCATTGCCTCTAAGCCGCGACTCGGAGCTGCAGCAGTTTTTATTTTAGCTGCTGAATGAGTGTGTGAGCGCGCACTCATTGTTAAATGCCTGGAATTTCCTTGTTAAGGACTTAATGGACTATGTATGAAATTGAGGTTATTTTTATATCCGTTGGCATTTAAATTGACAATATGTGGGAATATATGTGGTGATATTGAGATTCTCATGTCAAATTTAGATTTTAAAAGTGGTGAAAGTAAATTATGTGACTTTTAGGTCTCACTAAATTCAAAGTATGTTGTCACATTTGATTTTATAAAGTTATATCGCTCTTTATATAAACAGCCACAGGGATTAAAAGTGGGTTATTACTCAATCAGTGCTGCCACGAGAGAATGAAATGATTTAAGTGTGATGTTATCAACATGTTAGTGGGAAACTTGACTACACTGCTGAAGTACAGTTTATTTGGAATATGTACTGGAAGTGGAGCCTTTGCCTTCAGTGATTCACCACCACACGTCCCCAAATCACAGCCTGACTCACTGCTAGATCACAAGGAGTGTACTGCGTCATGATAAAGAAAAACCATACTCAATAGTATATCATGGGCCAGTGTGGATTACACTTAACAGTTTTATTTGGAATATTAAGACAATGAAGCATAAGCCAAGCACCAAGAGTGACAGCTACAAGTGTCGCATCATACGGCTCTTAAAAATGAACAGGTTATACTGGAAAACGACTGTTTTTTTTTCTCTCTTTGAATGGTGAAGCAGATACACAGAACAGACAGTGAAATGTGAACATGATTATGCCATTTACACGCTCCAAATCCTACCTGACATCAAGAAGGGAGGGGAAAAAAGGGGGGAAGAAAAGGAAAGAAAAAAGCGAGGAAAAAGCAGAAGAAAATGGAACAGCGATATTCGCCTGACGACAGCTCGGTCAGCCTGTGGCGGTGGCTGTGGCCCCCAGGATTTAAAGGGCTCTTTGTGATTGGTCAGAACGAATAAGGCGGTCTGGGAACACGGCGGTGCTGCAGAGTGACAACCATTAGTTCCCATCATTGTCAAGTCCTGTTGCCTCGGCACCCACATCCACACAGCAACCAATGTGCACATACAGCATTAAAGTGACAGAGGATTGCAACCATTGTTACACTACACTCCATTGCATATTAGGGAGAAGTAATAATGAAAAATAATAATTCTTTCATACATCTTTTTCTGTTTGCATATAGCACTTGACCCAGCTTTCTAAAATATATATGGGAACATGAAACATGTTTAAAATATCTTTTTTTCTTTTTTGTTTGTTTGTCCTCTAAGAGCTAAAACCACGAGTACCGAGGTGGGGCGGGGTAGGAGTCCTTTATCGGGGGGGTGTTGCTGTAGTTTAATGGGGACAGCTAGCGACGCGACCAGCCTGTCTCTCATCCAGACCAGACCCAGTGGTTTCTTGCCACAAACGAGGCTCTCATAGTGCAGCTACATAGTGTCACACTAATGACAATATAAGGTCAAAATAGTTCAATTCACGGCATTTTGTTAATTTTTTTTATTTTTATTAAGAACATAGAATATACACGTAAACACCCATCTTTGCTTTCCCTTTCATGGCTAACACAGAAAGGGTGGTGCTGGCTAAATGTGGTCCATGTTTACACATCCCTGGCGTAGGGGGCGGGGGCGTGCCGATGTGTGTCAATACCTGGGGTAGTGCAGGTGTCCAAAGAAATGTGATAGTAAGTGTGTGCAAAACGTTACGCGTGTTCCAGACAGTTAATGCACCACAGAAGAATAAAACTTCTTTTCATCAGGCTCCTATTATATCACTCCATCATCCGTCATACGTACAATGTTTTTTTGTTTTTTTTCCTCTCTCTCTCCTAAATCTACGGGTTATATGGCAAACATGTGCTACGGTTAATGTCAGATATTTCCCATGGGGAAAAGTGGGTTGCGAGGGTCCTGGGACTCTCCTTGCAATGGGCCTGCCTGAGAATAATGAGGGGGTGGGACGGAGGGTGTGGGGGGGTTCAAAGAGGCATTGTTCATAGGAGTCACTGTCATCACCCCTCACGGTCGACTCTAGCTTCCCCTCCACTGGAACCCTCCGTGTGGCTCTGTCCATACACTAATATAGTCCCACGCACGCACCGAGTCTGCAGCGCGGTGGAGGACGCAACTCCATCGACACGGCTTACGACGCCTGAACAAAAGTGAAATATTTTAGGACCACCGGCTTTTTTTTTCTTTCACACAAGTCTCGCCATCTTGAGATAAAACACAAACAGTGCTGTCTGGAAATATTTGGACGGTAGAAGGTTCTTCAGTTGTTTCGGCTCTGTAATGCAGCATATTGGTGACGAAGCAGTGACTATAAACAGGTTCAAGTGCCAACTCTCTGCTTTTGGTATGTTTAAGAGTGTTGATACTGGATGTATAGAGCGGGAATTGTAGCCGTTTTCATATGCAATGCCCCAATTTTAGGTCAAAGCAGCGGGATGTTTCACATGTTTTAGACCAGACTGAAGGCATAAAAATACCAAAAGAAGCAGCTCATGTCTGCTCACATACATGAGCATGTTATAGAATTCAGCAGTGGCTGATTGCAAAAGATCTTCAACTAAATGCTTAATATGATGACTTAAGTTTGTACAAGAAGCAGCACAATTCCTACCACGTTCACCCAATATTTATGCACTCTTTAAAGTTAAAGCTTTGAGTTGTCATTAAGCCCACCTGTCGTTTCAAATCCAATATACTGAAGAGCAAACACAACAGAAAAAAAGCCCACTTTCCTAATACTTGCAGACTGTACTGTATAACACAAATACACAATTAAAGTGCTATTTACTTCAACAAATCCCTAGCCCACTCTGTGAGCACGCTGTTGCCACAACAGGGCTCTCAGTGAGCCTGCTCCATCTCTCCTCCTCCTCCTGCTCCTTAACTTCAGCCTAACATCGCCCTGGCAGGGTTGGATAGAGAGTAGAGGGTAGGACAAACAGGCCTTAGTTCGCTCTGCACCACCCACAGTCACCTCCACATCAGCACAGGGATGTTAGGGATGTGGCCAGATGGGAGAGAGCGCAGTTGGATATAATAACAAAAAAAAGGCCTCCTTCAGCCACACAGCAGCCATAAGGCAACAGAGTGGCCCTTTTAGTACCCAGTAAATTTATATCCCAACATGGTAAAATTAGCCTGTGATTAGTGCCTGCAAGAGGGGTGGGGCACTGTAGGGAGTTGTATGCTATTGCTAGGAAGTAGCCTGATAGGACAGGTGACAGTGAGCAAGATAGTACGATGTGCGCTTTCATATAGATATACATTTCTTCTCTTTGACAGTGTGGATGCTAAAAAATCCTGAAAAGTGCACGGACGAGCAACTCAAAATGTCGACCTCATTCCCCTTCGGCTTAACACTCACTCACTCACTCCTGCCACTCGGACACATACGGGGATTCAAGCTTTCTGAGAACAAAGTGCAGGGCAGTGGAACATTTTTGGGACTTTTATGTGAGGAAATGTTCTGATCACAATACAGTGAATAAAAGGTTCAAACTGGCTAGAGACCGTCACCAATTAGCTTTTACCACCTGCATAACAAAAGGTCTACTGTCGTATGGAGCTGACTTCCACTCCGTTTGTAAATCTGAAATATAGTTTTCGCTTTATTTCAACACCACTGAGCACATTAATAAGCTTCAGCCTACTAGTTATTACAGATAGCTGTGTTTGAGAGCTTTGGTCACAGACTCAGATATTCATGGGTAAAGAAACTTGTTCATGATTCATCCTCACAGACGAGAACTACAATAACCTTTAACACGTATGCGGGCTGATAGAAACACGACTGAGCGAACACACAAACTAAAATATGAACTAGTTTGAAAACGTACAGATTACCCAGTGATCATGATCTCATGCTTTAATATTTCAGTTTTGCAGATTACCTGCAGGGTTTTCATCTACATACTTTCCAATTAATGATATTTATGTTATAAAACTCTTCTCTGAATGCCTTAAAGGAACCACGTCTTCTATTAGAAGTTCAACAAATGTAGTTTTAAAAAGCCAGGTAATGTGTATTTCCTACTAATCAAGAATAAAAACAAACAGTGTTGCTGATGGCGAACTTGGGCATCAGAAGCTGGATAATTCAGATAAAAATGCTCACAGTGAAGAGTTAACCTTCATGCCCTCTCACTCGGATCTGTTTGTCAAGTTGCGGACAAGAACCACATGTGAGGGATATCTTGCACTGAAATATGCTACAATAGGGCTGGCATTGGACCCACTAACAAACCTAATACTACCATACAGGCCATAATGTGGCAAGAGACTAATGCATGCATTAGTGAGTGACAACAGATGTTAACTAATACAACTTATCATTTCAGTAATCTGTCATAGCTTAATCAACGTAGCACCACTACAATTGTATCCGTTAGAAAAACTTACTAAGCACCATTAGTAAGTGAGCTTAGAGCATCGTTATTATTCTCTTCAGTCTCATTTGATGGCATCCGAAGCACCTCCTGCTCCAAGTCTGGACTACAGAGCAAATTATTATGGAACGAGATCAATGGTTCTCTAAAAAAAGGCACATAGGTTACACTTATTTTCTCTTCACAACGAGAACATAATGGAAATGACCGGCTAGCCAGCAGTGTTTTTATCCCAAAGTCACACAACTGAAATCATTCAGATTCCATAACTAAAGCCCTCAAGAGATACCTCTCGAGAGTTGAGTGTTGCCCGCACTCGATGCTGTAACTAGGACTATAAATGCGACTGGGCTACGAGGGGATTTGTCGGAGTTGAGAGCTTGAGAGTCAGAAGTTGCAACTCCCAAGAAAAGGGGTACATCAGCTCTTTCCTGCTGGTGACACAGCGCTTCATAAAAAGAGCTCAAAAGAAATATCAATTAGTAAGGAAAAGGGCAATATGGGAGTTGTCGTTCACAATTTTAACAAGCAGATTCTTGTTGAGTGTCACGTGAGGTTAAATGTGCTCCCCATGATCTTTGACCATATGGGGTCTCCCATGAAAAAAACAAGCCTCACTAGTTTGAGCAGATCATGTTTGGAAGGGACATTTTGAACTTTCATAGTTTTCATCGACTACACATGTTCCCTTAATTCATCTGCAAAGCCTTATTAGCATTCCTTACTGTAACCGAAGTGCAAAGCCATCTGCACCAATGTTTCAAGTGTCTCGTGAAGAAAAAATGACAAAATGGGATGCGGTGGGGGGGGGGTGAAGCTGTCCGTATGCCAGATGCCACCAAAAGATACAAACTGAAGGGAGCAGGTGAGTAAAACTAAATTATAAAACACAATTCAATAAACACTGCTCAAACGTTAGCATAGGAGCTAACTTTCATTCAGGAAGAAGTACATGCACAATAGTGTGCACAGAGCTGAAGTGCCTGTGGCCAGTGACTGCTCTGACAACTGTAACAATGGCAAGAGTTGTCAAATTATTTCCTTACAATAATGTTCTGAAAGCAATGCCGCTCAGTGGGAATAAAGTTTAGCTTGCTCACAAAATAGGACACAGCAGACTGATTTATTATTCATCACTCACTGTTACTGCTTAAAGAAGAGCTAGTGTTTTTTAAGGACTAATCAATAGTCCTTAGAAAGCACGTCGTTTCCCTGATGTGCTGTCCTGAACTCTATGGACCCTCCCAGAATCTGTCCCTGTCTCTGGCTGATTCTCATGCGTGCAAAAGGGATGGCAAAGAATGTGCCTTATGTAGCTCTATCCATGGGACAAGCTCTGACTGCAATAGACCAATAGCACCTCCAGTTGCCCTCTCAACCCACACACACACACCTTAAAACCCTTTTGGGGAAGGTGCTCCACTAGGTGCTTTGACAAGCTAAGGAAGAAAAAATAAAAACAGAGAAAGCACAAAGTGAACTGTACAATGTAGCCATGTGGGCCTAAATAGCAATTTGGGATGAACAAGGGAGGCATGCAGGCAGGTCTACAGGCAGGGTGATGTTGTGGGATCAGGCAGACATTTAGCACAAAGCAGGAGAGAAAAGACACAAAGCACTGATATTTGTGCCTTCCCTCCCTGTCGAAACAACCTGTCCAACACAAAAACGTGTGCTTGCCAGGCAGCGTTATACTGAATATAATCATATGTATTTTCTGTGATGTAAATAATAACTAAAACAAAGATTAGAATGAATCTTGTATAGCTTGTTACATTTAAATTCCACCCCCCTCCAGAAAGAGAGCCATGTCAGTATAGCCTCTAATTGGCTAACGAGGAATTTCTCAAGTTCTGTAATCCTCCTGCAGTGTGTGTACAGGCGTTGGAGAAGGCCACCCTATTTGACCTTGAGTGGCGGTTCCCTCTCCAGCCAGCGAACTCGTACTTTCTGTTTATAGTGATACTCCTTGAGGAAGTCCTGCATTGCAGGGGGCAACGGCAGAGAGCCTATACCATCGTAAGTGGTCCAGCGGCAGATGGCGGCTCGTGCCAGGTGCTGCAGGCCGAAGGGAAAGGTCCGATGGAGAGGCGCTGTGAGCAGCGGTTCGAAAAACATGCAGGCGCTGGGGTCCTTGTAGTGCTCCAGCAGTCCTGTCATAGTGGGAGCATGGAAGACACAAGGGTCGTGGGCGTCGAAGCTGAAGTTGTGGTTCCACTGCTCGATGCGGGCGTGCAGAGAGCGGTTGTAACGGCGGAAGCTAACGGAGAAGAGGTAGTCCTCCTGGGCGGAGTCACGCAGCAGGAAGGTGCCCTCTGGCCGTCCGTCCAGCAGCGCCTCAGCCTCGTAGCGGTCCATCACGCCCCAGTAGCAGGGCAGAGCTGTGATCTGCAACAGGTCCGGCACCAGGCAGTGGATGTAGTCTATCTGGGTGTGAACCTTCCAGGGCCCTGGCTGCTGCCGGCTAAGGTGCCCGTCCCCTGAGGCGTGCCTCTGCTTGG